GACTTAGCAATGTCGCCACAAGTCGTGGGATCTCCCGCCAAAAGTCCTTTCCCAGTGATGGAAGTTCAAGGCGCAGTAAATCTTTCCTTCAGCCAACATCGTGTCGCGCTCTGGCCGGCCATACAGCAAATACTCCCTAGCGGTTTCGTCTCTGTCCGAGCAGAGCTTCCAGAGGACTACATAGTCGATATTGAGAACCGGCGAGCGCAGCTGCCGATACATATCGATCGTCCCTACGGCACTGTCCCTGAGAGCTGGCTGATGAGCCTCCCACAATCGGCAGTCAAAGGCCTTGCAGATGCCTATTTTGCCGTCTTCCACCGTAACACGCCGATCCTTGACAAGTATCATTTCTTCTCAAGCACACTAGGCACAGCTATGGAGAACGAGTTCGGGTACGACGTGGAGTCTGCGCTGGTACTCAACGTGCTTGCCTTAGGTTGCTTAGCTGTCAAGGCTCACGAGGAAGGCGACTTTGCTCTTCCCTCGCGCCACTCTCCAGCCAGACGTGGCTTCGTGCACCCGGATTGGTACGAACTCGTTGCAGATGATCCACCGGGGCTCAAATTCTTCAACGAAGCAAGGCATCGCTTCGGCTTCCTCATGTGCGATAACGATGTTCAAGCAGGTCAATTTTACATGCTTTCGACCCTGTATTATGCTCAGATTCTCCGGCCTCTCGATTCTTGGACCACCGTGAACAGAGCGGCCCTCTGTTGCGCTAGCATTCTCACCCGCACGGGAGCGATTGACTATGACTCATGGGAGGGCGATATGTTATCACGATTGTTTTGGTGTACTTTGATGTACGAAACAGTCATCACACAGGAACTGGACCTACTTCCGCATAGCGGCCTATTAGACTACGAGCCAGATACGCCTCTACCGAAGTTTACCCAATGCCCACGGCCAAAGACGTCCATATCGGGACTGCTTACCGATGAAGAGGACTCCTTCTTCAACTTTCACTTTCTCGCTCAAGCGGCCCATCGCATCATCCTGACACGCGTAAAGCAGAGCCTGTATACCTTTGCGGAGAAAGACGGTTACCCCAGCGCCAGTTTGACAGCCGAAATGCATCACCAACTAGAGCAGTGGCGCGCAAACCTCCCACCGTCGCTTCAGTTCTCCGACACCGACAAGGCCAGTGACTCACCCAGCCCTGCACACGTCATCGCGAAGGCCATGCTGCGAAGCCGCTACCTCGTCGCAAAGTTCCACATTGGCCGTCCGTTCCTCTACAAAGCGCTGCATGCACCAGCGTACACCAGTGATGCAGAGTACAACGAGGTGCGCGAGGGTCTTCGCGGTGGCATGTACTGGCCAACTACCATGGGTCTTTGCACGCAAATGTTGTCAGCTCTACCAATCAAGTTTGGGTGGTGTTGTCAGTGCTTTGGACAGGTGCTATTGTTTCACGCCGTAGCGCAGTCGCCGGACCCAAGATTACGAGAAACGCTGCCGGAGGGATGGCGCGAGTGGGTAGATATCATGATGGCCCTGATCGAGAGTTGTGCGAGAAGCAGTCCTGGTATTGCAAAGGACTACGAGCTATTGCGCTTGTTGGACGCCTAGCTCCAGACGTGCAGTATGGACACGCTCGCGAGACTCTACAGATTGCTGCTGTAACGTCAGTGTAGTCCATAGGTATACAGCCAACATGATTAAATTTTCTAACGAGTTCGCGTGAGACCCTGCGTCACGCTGCCAGACGTAACACGGTACCACAGATGCTCGAGCCAGGCTTTTGTCAGCCGTCGTCGTCGCATTTGGGCACTCAACGTACGACTAATTCTGTGTTTCAGCAAAAGTCAATTGCGAGAAGGTCGAGACGAAGGAAGACACGATGAGCCTTGTTTGCGGTTTCTAGGATGGTCATGTCTTATGCTCCGACTGATGGTGATGTTTCAGCACCGCCGCACCCGTGTCGATCCTGCCATCTACAGCCGAGTACGAGAGGCTTGCGTGTACAAAGTGGCTACTAAGCTGACTATCGTAAAGGCGCATGCGGCACCGGCTCGTTGGGCTAACCCAGTGCACGACACATTGCGCACAAGAACCAAGTTGTGAATACATAACAGGCCCATGTTTGCATCTCGAATATCCTCATCGCAGTCCCACAGGCGTCGATGGGGAGCATAGCACAGCCACAGAGCGCGCATCCCAGATCTCGGCGTTTCAGCCTTCCAGCCCTCTCCCGGCGCGGCAGCTAAGCCCAATTAGACGGTAGTGGCCCCTGCATTGCTTAGGGATGGAAGCAAGGATCTACCGACTGACACAACTGCCACTAAACTGGGGCGTGTCGGCCGCCTCCTTTGAGGCAGAGGGACACTTTGCTTGTCATCCTGCTTTTCTTACCACTCCTTTTTGGCACCCGGCGCAGCGCTTCTCCGGTATCCGCATACATTGTCATCTTTGGCGTACACCACTTTCTTTCCGTGGTGTCCACTGCGCGACGCACGCTTCATTGTTGAGATTCGGCATCTTTGGGAAATTATTGGATTGGACTGGGCCAACTGGATTTGGATGCAAAAGAGCGAGGGCCTGATACTCGAATCCCACGCGCAGGCGAACTGGATCGCATCCTAGGCCTCTGAACCCCAGAGGACGAACCGCGACGATGGCCGACTACTCATACCAATCGCTGGCCAATATGGGACCACAAGGGAGATGGCGGCGTGTGCTGTTGATTGCCATAATACCCATGGCATTGGCTCTGCTTTACTTCAGCTCTCCTTCATACGTGCCGAGCAGTCTTCGGGCACAGTACGTGTCGCGATTCTTGATTATTGGCAACAACTGACGAGGCGCAGATTCCCGCATACGCAAAATGTTTCCCTCCCCAAAGACGACATTTCGATGGCGACGATAATAAAAGCACTCTACGGCCCGATATTACATCCGATCGATGCCGCCAACTTTACCGACGAGGACGGAGATATATACAGACTAGCAGGGGAACCGAAGTTCAAGAGCAAGTTGGGCAAGAAGGTGCTCATCCTGGATATCGACAGTCGGCCGTTGACGGAGAAGGGCCAGCTCATGGACCCACAATTGAAGTGGAAGGGCATGCGCTCGTTGAGTGCGGGCATGCTCGGGCATTACATGTTTGGTACGTTGTCGACCACACAGGAGGAGACATCCAGGGCCGTTCGGCACGTGGAGTGGACAGCGAGCGACTCGGCTAACTTCTGACAGCGCAAATACACGGCTACGATTACAAGTTCATCCGCGCACCCGATTACGCCGACCGGTGGGGCACCTGGGTCAAGGTTCCCATGATGAAGGAGGCGCTCAAGACCCACGAGTACATCGTCTTCATGGACTCGGATGTCATGTTCCACTACCCCCATCTGCCTCTCGAATGGCTGCTCAACTACTGGAACATGACCGACGATACTCTCGCCATGATGTCCATTGACCCGAACGAACCGCAAAACTACGATGCGAAGGGCAACCGATATCTGAACACTGGTTTCGTGATCGCACGGCAGAGCAAGAGGACACAAGAGATGTACAAGGCCTGGGCGGAATGCCCTTCTGAGACCAAGTACAAGGGTTGCGCGCACTGGAAGACCGACTGGGCACACGAACAGGCTGCTTTCGGAAACTACCTGCGCTACGACTACGACCGACCGGACGACATTCGCGTTCTCCCCTGCGTCGAAGCCAACGGTGCACCCGAGGCTGCGAACCGAGGCGGCTGCAAAGGCGTCTTTGTACGACATTTCTGGGTTGACAAGGGCCTGGTGGCTAAGAACCTGGCGGACAGCGTCATGCAGTACTTCCTACCACGATTACACGAGGCGTACCTGGGCTCAGCGAGCGAGCACATTGTCGACGCAAAGGGCTTCAAGCTCGAGGGCGCGGAGCTCATCGAGATGACCGAAGAAGAGAAGGCAGCGGCCAAGAAAGGACAGGGCAAGAACCAGAAAGATGAAGGGTGGTAGGACGACTCTGAACTTCGCAACGGCCTTTGACCCTCACCTCGCGCTCGCGCATTGCATTTTATTTCACCAATCTTGCGCCATCTACCGCACGATCTTTATATAACCACCATATATGCCGCTGCTATTTCATGGCAGTACTTTTCTGTCGGCGTCTACAGGCGTCCCATGTCTTATCGTCATGTCTTTGTACAGCGATTTTTCAAGCATGTTACATCATTATATTAGACTTGGGTGGGACGGGCATCAAAGACGGCTTTCCTTGATCATGTATGAGAATTGTTAGGCAAGAATAGCCACTTGGAATACCACCTCTTTTCACGTTGTCGATTGCGTCGAGCAAATACGTTGGTGATGCACAGGTACGTCAACGTCTTTTGTTTACTGATCTGTATCGCAGATATCGTGTGCCGGCCGGGTACCTCCTTCCCTCTCGGCACCATGACGCACGCAACAACCCCGGGAACATCCATGGATGACGACGATCGACTTATCTCCACGAGCGTTACAAAAGCCTGGCAAGAACCACCAGCCTCGCGCAATACGCCACTGCACGCGCCTTCTGCTATCGCGATGCAGTGTCGCAAACGATGTGCAGTCGCATTGGTGCACTGCACCTCCCCCGCTCTTGTGCGACGCCAACGATAACGACTATATTGCGGCGTGGCACTTCGAGTGGAACGACTGGTTCGGGTTTAGATGGACGAATCTGCTCTGCAGCAGCCGACGTGAGGGCCGACGACATGGATGCATTCCATCTAGTCACGCTTGCCAGATCTCGTTCAGTCCGCAAGACCGGGTACTTCCCTCTGCACTTCACTTGGTTGTCCCGTCGATGCAGACGTCATGAAGCATTCTATCGGCAGAAGATTGTTTGCAAGAAACAAAAGTTCCGGACACGTCGACATCGGGCAGAAGCGGTCTGCTACCAGCTCCTCTCGTTCGGAGTCTGAATCATTAATCCCTCTTACAACCAACCCCGAGCATGAAGCGATACCACAGAGCCTATTACCCCATACTCTCGACCAGCCGGTTCAAAATCTATCGCATCCGATGACCATAATATCACCACAGTTTCAAGGACCACGCATTGAGAAACCAGATCTTTGGCTCCTGGCCCTTGAACGCTCCGAGCTTAGCAATGAGCAGTCGGAGGTGCTCCTCGGTCCGCCTTCCGGAACTGAGACCGCGTCATGGTCTCCAGTCCAGTTCGTGCAGGAAGTCAAAGATGTCACTCGCGACCGGTACGTCGAGTGCGAAAAGAGCGGATGGTTCGCCAAAGCTGGAGGATGCAAGGCCGTCATCAAGCAACGGGCCGGGACAGTACTCATGGCCGTACTCGAGCTCAAAGGTTTCGTTAGCGAGGGACTAAAGTACGATGTCACCGGATACGGTGCGACAGCATGGTCTATCATCACCTTTGGCCTACGGGTAGGTTTCGGTACTGGAATTGAATGCTCGTGATATTGACAATGCGCATTAGCTTGTGCAGAACGATCTCGACAGGACACAATCCATATTCGAAGCCTCCGCTTTCCTGGCGGATCTCCTTGCACGATACGCTAGTATTGAGCTGCATTATGGTGATCCAGAGATCGACGATTGGCTTCAACTGCAAGACAGTGTCGTCTCAGTATACGCGGCTGTACTGAGATACGCTTTCGAGGTTAGGAGCGCTTGCAAAGGTGGTCGACACGGTAGGCTCGTTGGGATGCATTTCGTGCTCCTCTACTAACGCGAGTCAGCTCGTTTCGTCGCGAGTTTTCAAGCCCTTGTGGAAGAACCCCTGAGTCTGCTAAAAGAAGAGATTGATATGCAGGAAGCCTCAAGTGCTCGCTGGCTTACACATGTAGCGCACCAATGTGAGCTTGCTACCGACTGGTTCGTGCAAGTCTGACTGCTGCAGATAGGAAGAAAGAATCGGCAGCACTTCTTTCTGAAGTTTCCGAGGTGCTATCAACGCTGAACGCTGTCTCTGATACGGTCGACCAGATCTTGATCATTTCACAGAGTACGTAGTCTGACTTGTGGTGATGGACAGACCCTAAACTGATCTTCAAGCCACTGAGGACGACAGGCTTCGTGACTGGATCTTCAAGGAGAAGATCGATAAGCACCAGAAGATACAGACTGATCTCCTTCAATACCAAGGATTTCTAAGCACCGGCGACTGGCTGCTCAAACATCGGGCCTTTGAGGACTGGCTGCGCTACCCGCAGCAATTCCTACTACTACATGGCAGGGGTAAGTATAGCTGTGGAGTCGAACGACGCAGCTCAAGTTCATGCTGACGATCTTAGCGGGCTCAGGAAAGTCCTATCTTTGGTTAGCAGCATCGATTTCTGAACGTGGAGCTTGGCTGACATTTAATGACTTGCAGTTCAATCATCATCGAATACATCCGAAAGCAGTATAAGGGAGACCTCCGTAAACTGGTCTTATACTACTTCATGGACGGCACCGCTGCAGATTCGGATCAATTAGAAGACATGCTGCGCTCTCTGATCAGGCAAATGATCACGATTGCCGGATCGATACCAGCATATGTACGCGAGGTTGAGAAGAACCACAGGCAGATGGGGTCCTTCCCGAAATTCGACGAACTCAGTGACATAGTGTGCCACTTGGTGCGAGAGAGCAAGCGCGATGTGTTCATGGTTATCGACGGACTTGACCATACTCTCGAGTCGATGCATCCGAATCGCAAACTGCTTCTGGGTCTCATCCGAGATCTTCAGCAAGACAATGAGGGCAATCTTCATCTTTTCGTATCGACCAAGCATGACTCCGATGTATGCCAGGCCATCCAGGATCTTGACACTGCAGCACCTGCGCTCGTTGACATAGACGCGCATGCCCAGGCAGACCTAGCCAAGTATGTTGCGTACCATATGGAGCACACTGTACCGCAATTCGCTCCGTTGCGACATCCGACTCCACTATCGGGCACGTTGACGGAATATATACGACGTACTCTGATGAAAACTAAGACCAGGTAAGTTTACCAACGATCACATCAGCCGTACTGTTGATTAACAGAGAGACAGCTCCTTTCAATGGACAGGTGCTGTTCTCAGGGAACTCAGCACATGTCACACTGATAGCCAAGTTGAAGAAGTCTTGCGAACTCTTCCTTCCACCATTGAGGCTCTGTATTCTCAAGCTCTGGAGAAAATCCCGCCCCGAGATCTGGAGATGGCGAGGTCAATCTTCATGCTTCTTCTGTGCACCTGGGGGGAAGCCGATGTAAAGCTGGCTATCGACTATACCGGCTTGACTTCTGCTTCCCAACTCGTGCAGATATGTTCCAGTACGTTAGTGCAGCTAAACCGGTCTAAAACCACCTTGGAATTCAGTCACCCGTCCGTGGAAAGCTTCTTGTTACCCGGTGAGTCGAAATGCCACGGAAAGGTCCATGGCCTCACGTTTGATTATTGGCAGCTTCAAGCTCATATGGCTTTTCGCTGCTTGGATCGATTGATCCTAGGGACTGAGGGGCCTTTCTTAGACCACTCGGCCATGAATATGCTACTATATGCCCGGAGAGCTTGGGAGATACCCGGCGCATCGATTCCACAGGACTTCATTGAGTCATTCGGGCGTGCCGACGCTACTGGTTTCCTCGCCTGGCGTCGCCATCAACATAGAGCCTGGAATCTCGGTGACGATCCAGTAGAAGAGCACTATCCAACTCCCTTGCATGTCTCCTTATACTGGTCTTATTTCAAGACAGCCCGTGCTATCTTGGACCTCGACCACACTGGATATGACTGCATGAGCATATTCGGCACACCACTGCAGCTTGCTGTATCCGGGAACCACCTCCAGTTAGCCACTGCGCTGGTGGGACTCGGAGCCGATGTCGATGCCCCGCCAGGGACAGACGGCTCCGCTATCTACAGAGCATGCTTCAAGAACGTGCATATCGAGATCTTGCAACTTCTACTTGCCAACGATCCAAAGACGACGCTGGATATGCCTTGTAAAGATGAGCAGGGTGTGGACTACGAGACTCCATTGTATGCAGCAATCGTACAAGGCAACGAAAGATTCGTCGAGCTACTGCTAAAAGCGGGTGCGAGCCCAAACTCTCGCAGGAGGTCGTACGGCAACGCCCTCCAAACCGCATCTGCTTTAGGACATGTGAGTATAGTGGAACTACTTCTGCAGTATGGCTGTGATCCCAAGGTGATGAGTGGCCCTTATGGTACGGCCTTTCTAGCAGCTTTCCATGGCACGGGGGACGACAAAGGCCATGAGAGAATTGCCGAAATTCTCAGCCCTAACAGCATCGCCCCCACGGCACACGGCTCATTGTGGAGGGAAGCTATCATCGCAGCGGAGGCAATGGTTACAGCTGATGGTACGACCGACAGGGGTTGGCTAGATGTCTGTTGCCTGGAGCTCTCTCGATATCGCCCGTATCTTGGCAAATGGAGGGCCGCAGGCGACACGCCGCGGACTACCATGCAGTGGAAGACTACATGGGCCTATCAATACACGGTGCTTACACACCATCTAAGTGATTCAATACAGTCAAACCTTCCTCGCGAGGATGATTCTGGGCTGTGGAGACAGATCAAGATAGGCTTCGACCGTAACGACGCTAGTTGGGGACTCAACACCAAGCACGCGTATTACAAACAATATTTTCGAGCTCTGCTCCATAGTTTCATATCTGAAGTAAGAAGCTCCCCCTAGATATATCATCGTGGACTGATAAGCCATAGTGGCGCAAGTTCTTCATGTTCGGCAGCGACCGATGCTTGAACACTAGCGAAACTGGATTCTTGGCCTCACTCATGACAGTGTGGAATCGGACTGCGCACTACGAAGACCTTTTGATTGAGGATAAGAAACACGGGAATAGCGCCCTCTTCCATGCGTCACTACACGACTTGTTCACGCATCTTGTTCGCGCAATGAATGGGTATTACTACTGGCATATGAATCACTTGGGCGAGACGGAGCTACAAAGCAGGGCGGACAGTCTAATTGACAAGCTTACGATTCTGGAACACAATACACACCTCCAAGCAAGTTTATACTTGCAGTCGAAACAGATTGAGATGCTTGACGGTATGCAGCAACAGCAAGACGCCATGACGGCCAAAATTGAGGAAGCTGTGGCTGTGAAGATGAAGGTGCTCGAAAAAAACATGAATCATGAGCTACGACTCCTACGAACGACTCTACTGAACAGCATCGCAACCCCATCGCAACCAGATGTGAATGGGGCGGACAACGAAGAAACCGATGCAATCGTTACGCCCGAAACTCGCGAATAGCAGGTGAGTGGAAGTGGTGGACCGAGCGGAACGTTCGCCTGCCAGTGATACAAAAAAAAAAGAGAAAGCATTTTCTGTCAGTACGGTGTCTGTCCAGAAAAACCAAACAGCAATCCTTTCCAGAAAATGAAAAGCAATGTCTATATGGCCGCTCTTATTGTTGACCCACGCCACCAATCTGCTGAAACACAAGCTATTCCAAGTTCCTCATACCTCAACCACCTTTCTTCTGGTATTCAGCTTAGATCCTGAGCTTGACCATGTTGTGAATGGCCCCATGCATCGGGTCACTGGACCTGAGCTCCGCGCCTGAGTCATTCTGGAGCCTCAAAAGCTTTGGCTGCAGCACAACAGTTGCTTTGTTTGGAAGATCAAGTAATGCTCGTCGGTCCTGAGCGCTGTCACTGTTGATTTGTAAATGCAAGCTGAGGGAAGTGCTCAGTCGCACGGTCAGCTCCGAAAGCTTGGGGAATTGATTCTGCCAATCTTGCCCTCCTGCCTGCTGCGGCGCATTGAGAGTAGCAGCTTTGTGGGCAGGCCGGGGACGGAGAAGCACCAGCCAATCGTTCTCCAACGACGGCTCTAGGCACTGTGCCGCGTTGTCAATGCGACGGTACAACTCCAGCTGTATCACCAGTTTGCGAACGTGACTACCGAACACAAACGGAGGGAAACGCCACTTGTCGTCAGCGCCCGGGGTAACGTGCCCCCAAGACACGCCAGAGCGCCGAACGACAAAGGTGTTGCCACTGTAGTACACTTGTGCGGCAAGGGCGTGCATGCGCTTGTTGACGAGTAGCAAAGTTGGTAGGTTCAAACCTTTCTCGATGGCTTTGTGGTTCCTTGCCATGATGTACTTGTTGGTGCTGAGGGCGTACGTGAGGATTTGGACCTTGAGCTCATCGGGAAGGGCGTCGAAGCCGACGCGAGTGCCGCCGGAGGGTATGTTCTGAGTCATTGTTAGCGTTGAAAGAGGGAGTTAAGCAGATGAGGTAGCCGTGAGGTTCGGCGTCTGGTGTATTGTGGCAGAGAGAGAAGGAGCTGGCGATATGAGTTGTTGACGTGCCAACTAGTGCGCGCGTCATGACCGCGCACGCGACAGGTGAGAGTCAAAAGCTACGGTGACCAGGGATTAGGCAGCAACCTCTGCGTTTGCTCTACATGCTCAGCTCGCAAGATAACGTCACCGTCGATAAGAAAAGCGGTGTCAGAGCGGGTCAGTATAGTGGTAGACTTTGGTTCACCTCTCTTTTTGCCTGTTCGTATCAATCTAGACTTGGACTTAGTACGAACTAGAGCGATTAGTATGCTATCCATCACTCTTCGTCGTTGCCAGCAGCTTCCAGTGTTCAATGATATCGGTGTGCTTATTGCAATAGACACGCGCAATGCTATTGTGGCATTCCAGCGTCAGGTCAAGTTCCACCTCCTTTGCCTTGAACAACGTCTTTGTGTCAGCTAAGCACGCTCTCGTTTCCTCTATCAATTCAGGCGACATACAACAGTCTTCATCGCCTTCTGTGAGATTGTCATCATCAAAGAAGTGGAAGCTGAGCTTCAGAGTATGCAGGTTCGTGAATCCAGTTTGCCAGGCATTGTCGTGGGGTGCCGTCATGAGCCATCTCGATCTCACGATTGGTAAAGGCAGGCCTAGTTCGTTCGATTGTAATACGGGCCTTGTTGCCTGCAGCATAAAGGCCAAAGGTTGCGAATTGCACAGTAGTATATGTTCCAGTCGTGAAACATCCATGGTGTAAGTCTTAACGGTAACGCGTAAGTGCCGAATCATGCTTGCTATTTCTGCAGGAGGGTAACGAAAGGTGACTCGTTGAGACGAATGAGACGGTTTCTCCTCGATACAGATTTCGAAGACATTGTTGTTGTAGTAAGCGGTCCGGGCCAGCCGGTACAGTTCCTTGTTCCGCACCTCATAGATAGGTTCCATATGTTTGCGGAAGATGACTGTATAGTTACTGTCTGGCACGGGGCTTTCAGGAATGTCACCAACGACAAAGCATAAGACATAAATTTTCAGCTCCTCGGGAAGGTGTGCCCATTGCCTGAGCGATGGAGACAATGTTGCTGTTGTGATGCCGTCTTGATCTTGCTGGGTCATTGTAGGTATATGACAACTTTGGATCTGGTTGTGACTCAAGGTCAATGAGCATGTCTTATACCATAGCTAGAAGTTTGCTCCTGTATGTCAGCAGGGCATATAATCTGCGGAATGACTGTGACCAATCCGCTCAGACTTCATGCTCAATGTCAGCGACCCTTGGCACCCTATGTAACCGCAAGCCACAGAAGCTGGCGACAAGCTCGATCTATGCCTGGTCAGTGCACGTTACGAGACGGAAGTTGAATGCTGTCTTACACATTGCTGGATTGTCTCCACGTCCTCCTTGCTGACGCCGATGCGCCTTGTCCCGCGCAAATGCCAGGCTGTCTCTCTCGGCAGATTTTGTATCATGATGCCGCTGAGTACGGTGAGCTCGGTCTCGACGTCGTTGAGGATGCTGTGATCGGATAGATAGAGGCCGTAGGTGATTTGCTTGCTCGTCCAATCTATACTGCGTTAGCTCAGTATCAGAAAGCGGCCAGGGACTACATGCCGAAATCCTTTTGTGATGCCAAAACGTTGTCGATGCCCTCCTGGTTGTGTTGGTATAAGCGACCTTGCCATGCTGCACCACGTTTTGAGTTCGCTTCGTCACACTGCCATCCCTCTCTGCTTGTTGTCAGTTTTCGCAATCGCCTGCTGACGACGCGTGACTCTATACCGGGAGAATGTATAATCCTTGTCCTCTGGCCTCGTAATGGCATCGATATCGAAGATGGCTTCCAGCGGCTTGCACACGCCCACGATGACGATGAGCTTGAACAGTGTCTCTCGTATCCTCCGCATCAACGCCTGACGCTGTTCGGGTGTTTGGCATTCGGGTCGCTTGATGAGCTCCTTGTAGAGCAGAGGCGCGAAGCCCGGCTGCCCGCCGCCTACCATCGCCGCGAGCTATAATGGCTTAGTCAATGCTCTCATCTGTGTATATAAGACATACCATACCAGAAGAACATACCACTTGTCATCTCCAAGTGACTGCGATGGGAACTTCTCCTCTATGGCCTTGAACAGGGCAAGAGCTTCGTCATCGGTTGGGTCGCGGGGTATCGGGATAGTGCTGGTCGACATGGTGTTGTTCGTGCTATTAAGGCGGAAGTCGAAGTAGGATGTCGCGCCTTGCGGGATGTTTGGTGACTGTCGTCATTGGGTGTTCCGATGGTCGGGATGGACAAGTAGGACCGATCGCGACTGCGACGCGTCTTCGGAGGGGCGCGTCGCGCTAAAGCGGGGTAAACCTCCACCCGTCACCACGCCCCACGGAGAAACGCGTCTTTCCCCGGGGGCAGCCTTTTCTCTCAAAGCACCCGCATACACGCGATAATAAGGCTGGAATACCTGAAAACCAGACTGGGTGGTATACTCATTTTGGATCAAACATGAATACAAGCGCTTCGTGCTATCACCTTCCCAACAACAAGCCCAAGACTGTCATCATCACAGGCGGCGCAAACGGCATCGGCGCCAAAACAGCCCGTACCTACCATGGCCATGGCTGCAACATTGTCATAGCTGATCTTCCTTCCTCCAGTGACGCTGCCAATGCCCTCATCACATCTCTCACAGAGCCATCACGAGCCCGGTATCACCCCACCAACGTCACTAGTTGGCACGATATAAAAGCTCTTTTTCGAGAGACGAAAAAGACGTTCGGTCAAATCGATATCGTTGTTGCGAATGCAGGGACGATGGAGAGTAAGGGTTTCTTTGACTTCGAAGTGGACGAAAATGGGGAATTGATGGAGGCGACTGAAGCTGGCAGGGTCATCGACATCAATTTGAAGGGCACCATGAACAGTGAGCTACATTGTCTCACTAGTACTCTCCTGGTCTATCTCTAACATTAGATAGCTCTCCGAATGGCTATGCATTCCATGAAATCAAACCCACCGGACGCGGACGGTGCACGAGGCTCTATTGTACTTATCGCCTCAACGTCCGGATACTTTGGCGGGACTGGAGTAGTTTCATACATTTCTTCTAAGCATGGCGTAGTGGGCTTATCACGAGCTTCACAGTCCGTTGCCCGCCAGCTAGGCGTCCGCGTCAATGTTGTTGCACCCTTCTTTACCCCTACGCACATCACCTCGGGTTACTCAGAGAAGTGGAAAGAGAGTGGTCTACCTGCGAACACAACCGAGGATGTCGCTGATACCATCGTGTCTACAAGCGTAGATCCTGCAAGACAGGGTCATAGTATGATGGTGAGTTGCAATGACTCGATATGTGGCGAAGAAGTAGTGCTGATCGAGTCACAGGTTGCAGGCAACTTGGTCAGAGAGATCGAAGAGCCAAGAACTACGTCAACGAAAGATTGGTTAGGAGAAGAGATTTCTGACATCATGACGAGAGGTGGCAAGTTTTTCAATGATTTGGGCGGTTACACGCTGCCCCAAGCACGATCTTGAGAGCTTTTGCGGGCTTATCTCACGGCCCACCTCACACAAGGCAAAGCTGAACAGGTCTACAGGCTACATGTAACCAAAATCTTGCAAAGTAGGTGACCTAACGTCAGCCTAGGCTCTAGGGTGTTCAGCTTCTCCTAGGTTGGCGTGGGCCTGTGATTTAGTGAAAGCTCGAGCAACATGCTGGCTGCCACCGCAAGTCTGCACTCATGTTATACCACTCACTCCTGCAGGCTTACTCTTAATCCCAAGCAATTTTCCCCTAAAAACTGTTTCCACTCCACCACTATCGACTCAACCAACCCGGCCTCTCCGCATTATGGAACTAAAATTGGTCGTTCAACCCAAACGCTCTATCAAGCGCTTTCTCGCTCGCTTCAGTCTTCCCGGCATCAACAGATTGAAGAAGTCGATTCGGTCCAAGCGCTCCATCGATTATTTCCTAGCTCTTCCAGATGAGCTTAAGTTACAAATTCTGCGCCTAGCTCTACCCAATCGACAAAAGTTTCGGAGGTCGTGTCACTGTCGAATCCGCGAGTCCTATACGCACGATGGACTCGCCTGTTACAAAGACTGCTGGCTAAATCTTGTGCGTGCAATCCCTGGGATGGCCGGAATGATCTATGAAGTTTTCTACGGTCAAAACACCATGGTCGTTTGCAATCCTTTTGCGATGGAGAATCGCGCTTTTCCGCCGCACTCAATCAATAAGTTTGTTCGGCATCTCCATATTAACATCACACTCACACTCAAGAGTCTGAACTACATATCTCGGCTAGCTAATGGCGATATGGGGTTTCCAGATCTACGCTCCGTGGAGATAGACATCGATGGTCGTGTTTTGCCGTACCTCCGATCGTCGGTAGAGGCAACCGAAACACTGGACCTCACGGACGACGAAAATGAGTTCCCGCCCGCAATCGAGGAAATGCGACACTCTCTCAAAGCTATGGCACCAATGCTTTTCCACACGCAGAAACTAAAGATCACATACAAACATGCCTGGCTTACTGTCACGGACCCTGTATTGATATGGATACGTACCCAAGTCTGCGATCCTGTGGAAGAGCTGCTATTGCAAAAGATTGCGATAGCTGAAGCTCAGAACAGCGATGCGAAGTTATGTCGATACTACCGCTCCGGGGAATCGCCTGAATCAGAGAAAGAATACGTGGATACGTGGCCCGAGAGAGAAGCGGTGGGTATACCTTTGTCTGACCGTGGCTTCGGGCGCACTTCAATCAAGCTTCTGATCAAGTAGATGAGAAGCTGAGTATAGATTTTGAACCGAAGTCGGCAGTGAGGCAATACCCCTGTTCGTTCTAGTATACCTACACACCGCCTTCGGTAGATAACTGCTGAGCTTGAATAAGTGTATATAACAACTCATTGGGTTCGTGATAAGAGTCACTGAATTGCCTCGTACGGGAACGGTCAAATAGTCTGTGACGACTTTGAATACCTCTAATTGGATTTTGACACCTCATATCTGGTTTCATGCTCCATAGCCCTACAGTCATGACATCGAAGTATCGTCGCCCGCGTCTCTCCACGAATCGCCTCATTCAATAGCAACGATGAGCTATCTGACTTGGAGATGTGCTCGCCCTACTTAATCGTTATCTGTAACACGTGGGTGTACTCGAACAACTCGCAGACCGGCCCATAAGGCCACACCGCGTCTTCGTCACCTTTCAGTATGGAGCCATCTTTGTTCCTATAGCAGCTATACCTCTCCGAAACATCCTCGTTTGTTCTTCCCTCGCTTAGGCTGATCTTGCTCAGTATTTTGTTTGCGAATGCACCTAGTATGCTTGCTCGACCCGACAAATCTCTCCAGCTGTCTCTGTAGCCTACGTTATCAGCATATGCGCAAGATACTGAGATGGTCTTGAAAGGGAATACGATAGACTCCATATTCTTTAAGACCACTGCGACATGCGGTACTAGAGGCTCGCTGGACCGACGTGTTAGGAGTGTAGGTTCTGTCGAGATGACTTTCATCCTTGCGGCCGTAAGTCTGATATCGATTTCGACGAGCTTCTCGAACCCAAGCTTCCCCGTCGCTAGCTGGCGGAGAAATTGTATACCCTCCTCAGTCATGTGTATGCGCACGCATAGTCGCGGAATTAGCGCGTTTATCCACCCCGGAGGGTATGGTATGCCGCCACGAGGAGAGGTCGTTATTAGGATCTTATTCTGTTTCAACAACACGTCGTATACCAAATACTTCAGTTCTGGAATGGCCATCAAGAGTGGCAAGACTTGTTTCGCGAAATCGAAGGTATGGAGCTGATTTCTCTCGAAATCCGGGCGAACAAAGAATTTGTTGGAAGGTAGGTACTCAGACAGTACCATCAACTTGATCTCGCCCGGTAGAGCGAGGAGAGGGGGGCGTGAAGTGGTAGTTTTGGGCATTGCCTCGACCGGTAATGTGACGAGACTGGAGCACCGATTCTGCTGGGCTTTGATGTCTGCTTGCTCCGTAGTATCGTCGTTTTGCTTATTCTTGTTCAGGAACTTGAGATTAGAGTTGATAGTTGGGTTGGTCATTTGTGAAGAGAACAAGCAACGCAATGGTGACCAGTCTTATACTAAGGGCGGTTGAGGAGCGTACGAATTGCAGTAATACTGAGGAGTACATTGACGAATCTATTTGGCGGGTCGTAGCTGCACGGTTGTTTAGGCTCCCGCGTTGGCAACTACGTACTGGCTCATAGCACCTAAGCAGGGACTCAAAGAGACACTGAGGCAGACGCTCATCCAAAGCGGTTCTAGCGTAATAGTGAATGCGATGCGCGGCCAATACCGCCTACACCGTTGTTGCGAATGTCCATGACCCGTGATGGTGCGATAATTTTACGGACGTGTGGTCGCCTTTGATGGTATCGGTTATGTCGCGGGATTTGCGCATTGAATGACCGATGCTATTGGGCGATGTGTAGGAGTAATAGACTTCACGAGGCGATCACAGGGTTCATTTTCGTCTTAGTAATCCTCGAGCGAGCTTTGGCCCGGTGACGTTTTCCACGACCCTCGGCAACACCACCTGCACCTTCTACAATCTGTCCAAACGCCAATTGAAGCCTCACGACAGACTCTCTGACCATGGCGTCCTCAAGACTAGTTGCTCGCTCATCGCGCGCTCTCCTCTCCCTCCCGCGCACCCAATGCCGCACATTCAGCATCTCCACCCTCCGTAGCAATGAGTTTGAAGCTCTCAACAAGCGCACAAACGACACCTCCGAGACGTACCGCAAATACCAGATCGAGAGACCTCTGAACCCTCACCTGACCAACACCACATCTACCATTGCCAATGAGATGCCTTCAATTGGCAATGACGCAGCCCCGCCCGAGTTGATCACCAACGCCGACGCCAAATTCGCACCCAAGGATTCTGTGCCCGAGAACACCGAGCGCATGACAGGCGGTACACAGGGCAGCAAGGACCAGGACGTTAGCGGAGCGAACAGCGAACTGGGTGTTGGCGAGATGGAGGGCGCCAAGTTCAAGGTCGAACCTATCCGCAGGACTGGCGAGGACGCGAACACCATGCGTGCGAGGTTATTATGTCCGTTCATACACTGCCCATTCCCTATTCCTCATGAAATACACGATTTGGTGACCAGGACGAAACATAGCTAACGTACAATCAGATCAGAG